AGTCCGGGGGGATGGGATATAACATTGTGTAATACCTGTGATGTCTTTTTTTTTTATGATGAAAACAATAAAAATTTTATATTGGAAAGTTTTTGACACTTTGCTAGGCGACTGGTGGTACTTGAATACTGCCATATTCTAAAAGTGGTACAATCGGTGAAAAGGTTGAAAAGCCTTGTACTAGAGCAGGGCTTTTCAACCTTTTCACACATTGTACAACTTTTAGGATATGGCAATATCGGAGTACCACCAGTCGCCTAGTGTCAAAAACTTGATGACCAAAAAAAAAAAGGAAAAAAATGATAAAGTACAGGTAGTCCTCGACTTACAACAGTTTGCTTAGTGACTGTTCGAAGTTACGATGGCACTGAAAAAGTCCCAAGGCACAGCCTAGCAAGACACCTGCCTGCCCACCTGGTGGTGTTCTTCCTCCTGTCCGAGGTTTTCATTGTTGTGAGCATTTCTGTTGAGGATTGGCAGCGGGGGTGGGGTGGGAGTGTTTGGTTTTTATTCCCCGTCTGCTGGGTGGTTGCATCAGGTTTTGGTTACTTCACATGACCCTGGGAAACTGTGACCATCATAAATATGAATCAGTTGCCAAGCATCTGAATGTAAATCACAAGACCCTGGAGATGCTGCAACATTCCAGCTGATCGATGCTTCTTCTGGGCTCAGAAGCACCAGGATCAGCGCCGAGCTCCAGCTGGAGCCTGGCGCTGATCCTGGCACTTCCACTGAGCCCTGATAGTCCTGCAGCTCCAACCATCTCTCGCTCAGGCTTGTGTGGTGCTGCCACCGGTTCAGTTCATTCTCCTCCCCCTCCCACTTTTCTAGAATGGTCGCGTACCACCTGCCAGGTCCCAATGTACCACAGGTGGTACCCGTACCATTGGTTGAAAAGCCCTGTACTAGAGTACCGTATTTATTGGCGTATAACACGCACTTTTTCCCCCTGAAAATAGGGGGCAAATGATGTGTGCGTGTTATACGCCGATATAACAAGTACCGTATACACGTCTGGTGTATATGGTATTAACAAGTACCGTATACACCAGACATGTCCAAAGTCCGGCCCGCGGGCCATTTGCGGCCCGCGGCCCGGTTTAATCCGGCCCCCGGCAGGGCGCGTCGCCAGGCCTCCCCCACTTGCACGAGGCTTCTGGCGTTCCCCCTCGCGCCTGGCTACGGTGGCTCGGGGTTTCCCGTCCCGGGCACGCCAGGCAGCGCTGCAGGGAACGGAAGGGAGGGGGGGAGCCTGGAGCTCCGCAGGCCGGGGCGACGCCGGAAACGAGCTGGGCGGCTGCGACGGCGGCAGCGGCAGGAACAAGCTGCTCGGCTGAGGCGGCGGCG